AGAGGAAGAGGAAGGGCGTGAATTGAGTAAGCGGGTGGTGAATGTAAATGCCGCGACTGGAGAGTTGAGGATAACGAAGCCTACATTGTCTAGGGAGCAGAGGGAGTACATTAGGTTCATGAATGTAAAGAGGCAGAAAGATTTTATTTGTTTGGAGAGGGTCAATGGGAAATTTGCTAACATTCTGGAGGGACTTGAGCTCCATACTGGTATCTTTAGTGCGGCGGAACAGAAGAGGATAGTTGATTTTGTTTATTCGCTCCAAGAGATGGGCAAGAAGGGTGAATTGAAAGGTCAGTCTTTGCTTTTGGAATGCCAATACAGTGTGGTATTCCTGTTGATATTTCTTGCAGTTTTTGGACATGAGCTTTATACATCCAGTTTTTAATAGGAGTTTTCTATGTATGCTAATTTGATACATGAGCTTTATGTACTAAATTTCCATACATAGAAAAGGATAATGTTTTATTGCCTAGCTAGAATGTAAGCAAAGACGTTCAAACTCTACAACTAAGTTAACTTTGCAGGGTTAGATCTATATTATTTACTGCACATAATGTCTTTGGTTGCCTATTATAAAATATGTATATTTAGTAATCATTTTAGTTGTAAGTTGGCAAAAATACTTTCTAAGTGGTATACGCCAGGATAAGATTCCCCCGCTGTTTTCTTGACGAGTTGTAAGTCATCTTTAATGTATTGTTGACACAGGAAAACATACAAAATTTATTATTTAGCTTAAACTTGTTTTTATGCTAGTTAATTCTGTTATATGGAACTTTTACTATATCCTTTTAAGTTTTTTTCTGAATTTAATTTCCAGTTCCATTCTAATATATTGAATTTTCAATTTTTTTTTCTTATTGGAAAATGTATATACTGTTTGGCTAACCTATTCTGAACTTGTTGCAGCGCGTACATATACAGCACCCCAAAAGTGGATGAGGGGCAAGGGACGAGTAACCATTCAGTTCGGTTGTTGCTACAATTATGCAGTGGTATACTTTTCTGACTATGGCATCCATATTTGGTGACCTTATATCTTATTTGACTATTAAATTTTGTAGAGATCAGCTAAACTGTGATTCTGGTGGATATCAGTATAATTACCGAAATATGCTCAAAGGAACTATAAAGTGCTAGTGATTTTAGATGTTGCATTGCATCTGATGTGCTCTGTTGGTTTCAGGATAAAAATGGTAATCCACCTGGTATACTCCAGAATGACGTAGTAGATCCTATACCTCCTCTTTTTAAGGTGATCATTAGGAGGCTGGTAAAGTGGCATGTGCTTCCGCCGACCTGTGTACCTGATAGTTGCATTGTCAATATATATGAAGAAGGGGACTGTATACCCCCGCATGTTGACAACCATGACTTCCTTCGACCTTTTTGTACTGTTTCATTTCTTAGTGAGTGCGACATACTTTTCGGAACAAACTTAAAGGTTATTGGTGCTGGCGAGTTTGAGGGTTCATTTGCAATCCCCTTGCCTGTCGGGTAAGTATGCCATCCATATTTGTGCCTGTGCATTCTGTGCCCTTGTTTAGCCTCTACCCGTTGTTTTCAATTACATTTATCCATCACTCCTGTTTTTAGAAATGTGGCAGTTTCGTCTGTTATGCGAGACTTATTAGGGGCCGTGATTTGATGTTTGATTGTGTGGCGTCCTCTTGTTATTTGCCTTTTGCTGTTCCTTTGGTGTTTTGTTCTTGAGGCAGCCGTTTTTCTCTTGTTTGGTGTTTTCTAGTGTGGATCCCTTACCCACACCTTTTGTGTTTTGGTACCCTATTTTGAAAATATCGTTTCTATTTATAAAAAAAAATACATTTATTTATATTTAAGTTTTAATATTTGCATCAGCCTTTTCTTGGATTCAAAATCTTAACAATCA